TGATGTCCTAAAGACATCCATTTTATGTAATAAATTAGCTTATCTTTTATTTTGTTGTTCTTACGCATCTAGAATTAACTTACCTTATATGCACCTAAGTATGTTCCATCTTAGGGGAACTAAGAAATCATTTTTCTATATAGTTTAATTCTCTTGCAGAGGCCAGAGTAAGAAAGGTTGGGGTGAATGTTCAGGAACTTGGAAGGAATTAGACAAGGTGATGTGGGCATGAGTGATATGAATAGACTCAGAATAAGCACAAGTAGGGAGATACTTGTGTCTATGTAAATACTGCAAAGTCCCCCCACCAAAAAGGATGCTTTCAATAATCAGGTGGATCAGATGACTCATTCTATGGATACCAGTCTACCTCTTTCTCTAGCTACTCCACTGCTTACGTAGTGGCCCTCTGAACAAAGTAGCCACGGGGTCAAAGATGAAGGTTTTGCATGGATTCATCAATGTGGACTTCCTCTCACCAAAACTTATCTGTTTAGTGCCCAACCTGTCAACAGCAGAGACCAATGTTGATCCCCCAATATGAAGCATTCCTTGGGAGGACCAGCCATTTTCATTATACTAGACCCTTCCAATCATTAAGGGAAAGCAATTTGTCCTCACCGGAGAAACAAGATGCTTATTCTATGAATTTTTTTTTCCCTTATGATGGTTGACTTTATGTGTCAGCTTAACTAGGCTAAGGGATGCCCAGATTGCTGGTAAAACATTATTTCTGGGTATGTCTGTGAGGGTGTCTCCCATAGAGATAAGATCACCCTTGCCAATATGGGTGGTCATCATCCAATCCATTGAGGGCCCGAATAGGACAAAAAGAAGGGGAAAAGACGATGCATTCTCTCTGCTTGAGCTGGGACATCCATTTTCTCCTGCCTTTTATAGCTGTTGTTTTTCCCCAATCCAGAATCCAGTAAAGATTGTGTATTACATTCAGTTGGCATAGCTAGTCTCCTTTATTCTAGAAAAGTCCCCCATCACTCGCTAGCTTTTTTTTTTTTTTTTAGTTTTCATGACATTGATATTTTTAGAGTTCAGCCCAGCTTTTTGAGGTTTTTTTCCCCCATTTTTATTTTTGCAGACTGTGCCTTAATTCAGATTTGAATTAGATGTAGGCTTAACAGTTTTAACAAGAATACTACATAGGTAATGTTGTGCCTGCTCACTGTATTCTTTCTTATGATAGTACAGACTCATGAAATCTTTGCAAATCAATATGCTGTAAACCATTCCTGTAATTGATCATACTGATGCTCAGATGGTCCCTCTTATGGCCAGCGGAATCCTTTAGGCTGGCTCCTGTATTTTTTTGGATACGTTCCCATCAATTTATTGAGCTCTTCTTACTTTCTGTCACAATAAGATATTCCAGGCTCACTTTATACTTTTGCTACCCTGATGCCCTGGAATCAGCCATTTCTTCAAGGACCTATTTTGTTGTTGTTCCTGTTGTTTGTTTGTTTTAATGGGGAATGGTTTTGAGAAACCAAAATTTAGGTATTCGTGTGTTCTTTGCCCCAGGGATGTCATTGCTTCTTGGGACTCTCTCTGGATAAAGCTAAGTAATGTATGTTTTAAAAATCATGAGTTTGTGATACCTTTTAGTTCCAGACCCAGGAACCTGCTGTTCCTCCCTATAGTTCATACTCTTCCTGTTAGAACTCTGAGTCCCCCAAATCTTCCATATATTTACTCTTTTGCACAATCCTATAATACACACAAAATAGTTTCAGAATTGTGCCTATACTCCTACCAACAAGCCTTTACTAAGTAAAATTCATAATTTATTTGCAGTTTTTAAAACTAATATTGTTTTATATCTTTTGTTTCAAAATGTTTAAAATAAACGTGTTTAAAAGTGTTTTAAGTCAACGTGACAAAATGTTTACATTTGTCAATTCTGGATGACAATTACATGGGTATTAGTTATATTATTCATCCTTTTCTTTTTAAAACTTTATTGCAGTACAATGTGATTTTTAAAAAGTGCATTTCTTCTAGGAGAATGGCTAGATGAGTTTCTACTAGTTGACATATGTGTATTTGTGGGGGAAGGTGCTTATGGTAGATATAAAGTAGAATTGGCTTCTAGCTTTTATGTGTTTTAAGATACATTCCTAAATTGTACTTAAAAGTGGCTGTACCAGTTTATTATCCCACCAACATTATATGAGAATATCTGTTTGCCTACAAGTAAGACAAAACTTTTCATTAAGTAGCTTTTTTTTTTGCCAGCTGAATAGATGAAATATCTGTGTCCCATTGCATTGCTCTTAGTTCTCTTAGTAGAGGCAATTTTTTTCTTCAATTATTGGCTATTTGGGTGTCATCTCATGTGAATTGCCTGTTTATTTACTTCCCTGTTTTTAAATAGATTGTTAATCTTTTTCTTTCCCATATTTTAGAGTTGTTTGTAGTTTCATTTTACTATTATCCAACTTAACATTACGATGTTGGGTAGGTGGTCAGGCTGTAGCTTTAAGGAGTAAGCACTTGTTCCAGCATTTGTTTATATAAAAATACTCTTACTGGGTTTTCCCTATTGCAAAAGTGATTGTATGTTTATTCAAAAAAGTTTAGGAAATCAAGATGCTCGGGAAGGAGAAAATGAAACTCACTTTTAATAGTATCACCCAGATACAGTACCATTAATATTTTAGTGTGTATCCTTCTGATCTTTTTTCCCCTCTGTACACCATTTATTAAATTTCTTTTCCCATGGATCTGTGATTTTATTCTTAACATGTGCTGATTTTTTAAAATGGGGGACCTGGGGGTGCCTGGGTGGCTCAGTCATTGAGTATCTGCCTTCGGCTCAGGTCATGGTCCTGGGATCGAGCCCTGCATCGGGCTCCCTGCTCGGCAGGAAGCCTGCTTCTCCCTCTCCCACTCCCCCTGCTTGTGTTCTGTCTCTTGCTGGGTCTCTCTCTGTCAAATAAATAATAAAATCTTTAAAATAAAATAAAATGGGGTATCTGTTTTTGAGCTGTTATTACCACTTTATTTATTTGTCTGTGTGGTGATGTGCCTGTATCATTTAAATTGGCGAAGCGTTATGATGCACTGGGCTCTGTGCAGAGCCAGCCCCGCCCCCTCAGTGCTTTCCTGGAGGCTACATCAGGTGGCCTGATGACACTTGTGTGTCATTCTGAGTTGTGAGCTGTGACTACGGACTCTGCTAAATCTGAAATGCATTAAAAATTTGAAAAGAAAAAGGGCTCAGCATAAAACAACTTTTTGTTTTCACATCATTTTTCCTGTAACAAATCAGATTTACAAACATATTCCTGTACATTCTGGAGAAAGAGATCCTGAAGTTACTAGTAAGCAACTCTGGGAAGTGGAAATTGATTGCCCTTCTCTCATTTTTAATTTAATGTGTGTAAAATGCTGTTAATATCCGGGAAACAAACTGAGGGTTGTGGAAAGGGAGGTGGGGGGGATGGGGTAACTGAGTGATGGGCATTAAGGAGGGCACATGTTGTGATGAGCGCCGGGTGTTATGCGCAACTGATGAGTTACTGAACATTATATCAAAACTAATGATGTACTATATGTTGGCTAATTGAATTTAAATAAAAAAATGCTGTTAATAGCTTCTCTGGATTCTTTTGTTCTTCTTCTCAGGAGCCCTTCATAGCTTAACTCAAGAGTTTTAACCCCTAATTCTTTTTTTCTCATAAGGCCTTAGATTCCTTATTCCCCTAACCCCCAATCTCCCATGTAAGGGCTTTTAGGATCCTGACTCTAGATGTTGAAGAGTGAGCTACTGCATGGGAGGGGAGGGAAAATTTCCTAAAATTCCCACCGGTAGCTCTGACAAATGAGGAAATGAGGCATATCAATATTGCAAGTGGGGGTGTCTGGGTGGCTCAGTCAGTTGGGCGTCCAACTCTTGATTTCAGCTCAGGTCATGATCTCAGGGTCCTGAGATCGAGCCCAGTGGCAGGCTCCATGCCCAGCAGGGAGTCTGCTTGAGATTCTCTGTCTCTCCCTCTGCCCACCCCTACCCCCGTGAGCACATGTGCCCCCCCACACACTCTCTCTCTCTCTCTCTAAAATAATAAATCTTAAAAAAAAATACTGCAAGTGATCTTCCACAACCCTGAGGTCATTGTCTTCACTCCATTCCTTCTGCATCTCTTTCTACCAGTGAGTGGGGCACTAGGGCTCTCTTGCATTGGCTCACCAGGGCTGCCTGTTAACTTTCCAGGAATTTTGCAAGCTGGTTGTTAGTCATTATTAAAAATTAAATTATAGAAACTTACAATTAATTGTACAAAAATACAAAGATAATTCTCAACACTCACCACTTCTTAATTCTACTGCATTTTACTATTATTTATGCTCTTGACATTATTTGTGCCTATTCCATCTGTAGGTAGAAGTACTATCTAATCATGTCCTACTGTGCATCTTTGCCCAACTCCGTGTTCAGGGGCTTCTCTTGGTAGCTTGAAATTGGTTATGATGTCAGTATTTACACCACTAACATTGGAAAACACTACATATCAGGGTTTGATTTGTTGTTTTGTTGAGTGTGCTGGTGAAAATGTTAACAATGCAGATTAAACTTAAACGTGTATCATTTCAATAGCTTTAACATTCTGAATAGTCCTCCAAGTTAAGGAAATAATTCCTCCAGTATTTGAAAAATATTATTTGATTCAACAAAGAATTTGCTTACATCACTGACTAGCAAATGACATTCCCACAAAAATCTTTGTTAATTTTTCTCTTATTCCTAATGTAAATAAAAATATCAGCCAACATTCATGCCAGAACTATACTCACGCATCAGTCACAACCCTAGGTTAGCTTTGGATATAAGAATTTGCCAAAAATCACCTAAAGAATTCTTTGGGAATTAATTATATACATAGAGTTTATAATAAAGAATACAGTATATTTTATTATCATTTTGTAAATTGTAATATACATCCTTTATTTATAAAAAGCAAAATTTATAATAAACTTATGTACATATGTATCTATGTACCTTTTTTTTCTTTTTTGGAGAGCTGGTGGTTAAACTTTAACCAGCACACCACCGATCAGAGGTGACAAATGGCCAGCCCCAAGCTTAAGGGGACCACTGACATGGTTTGTTTGACCACACAGTGTTACTGAAAGCAACAAACAAACAAAAAAGCAAAATAGTGTGCCAACATTTACAAATTGTAAGATTTCACACAAAAACCTGGAATTCCTAATTTTCTTGAAGGATAAGATCTGGCCCCATTGTATTCTCCCACAGTGACACTCAGAGCTAGAGCTGAGCTGCTGTGGACCCTTCAGGTAGGGCAAATACTCTCAGTTTTCCACTATCCCCATGGCTCCCTGTTGTTCCCCCCAACCCTCACCATCCACTGAGCACCAAGTGCCATTTTCTCCCATGTATGTGCTGTGGATTTTCTCTGTTCCTAATTTATCCTCTATCAGTGCAACCTGAACCACATTTTCAGGCCAGAAATAAATCAGGCAAGCTTGATTCATTACTAAATTAACTTTCATTTTCTATTGATTTAAGTCCCATTGATCTACAATTATTTCTTACAAGAATCACTTACAACATCTGTGGAAGGGCTTTGAAACTATTCAAAGCCACCAAATGGAAGAGAATGCATATTAAGATGCTCATAATTTCTAAATCATTTAATTTTGTACTTTATTAATAAAAATCCATTAAAATTCAGTTTTTTACATTTTCAGTAACTCATGATAGTAAATATATTTATTATTCATCCTTTCACTTATATTCTTCTTGCCTTCCCTTTTCCAAATCCTTTTTTTCCTTGTCTTTTTCTCTCACTTTAAACTTACCTCCCAAATACAACGTCAATAATGAGGTCATTGCATTATTCTATTAAAATTCATACTTTGGTCTTAGTTCTGGCCTAATTTAAACACTGACATTATGGACTCACGCTAATTAGCCTGAATGACCAAATCCCCCACCAATTAAGCGAATGTAAGATATTTCAGGTTATTTCAGTTACCCTATGTTAAGGGTAAGAGAAAAATGTGGTGAATGTGATCTGACATCATCAGCCCCAAGACATCCTGTTACTTTATAATAAGACTCTTTCTTACCATTATGACATTATAAATGCAATTATGTTTCTAGTTCCTTGCACTCTAAGTTTGGTCATTTGTATCATAATTGCCATGGATTCTTTACGTTGTATCTCAATGGTAAATTGAGTCTGTGAGGAAAATTTTTGTACACTGAGGTCTGTTTCCTTTTTTTTTTTTTTTTAATATGTTACCTTGGTTCCTTTTGTCATCACACCTAAGACCATTTTGTGTCAACCATGTCATACAAAGTGTCTTAACTTTCCAGAATTAAACATCTGAGTGGACTGAGCCCTAAAATTTCTTTTGTTAACTATCTTTTAGTCATATGAGCATTTTTGTCCGTAACGTTATAAATGATTATTAGATTCCCAGGCTAGCCCCTGGTGGTGTTAAATGCAGCTCTAATGGTACTAATCTAAGTTCTTATTTCTGGAGCAGAAGGAGGAAGGGGAGGGGGAAGGGGAGGATGAGGAAAATGGGAGGAGAAAGGCGAAGTGGTACAGTGAGGACAAAGAAGAAGGCAAAGAATGAATGAAAGAAAAGGGATACAAGAGAGAAACCCCCTGGGTTTAGGCCTTGCTCTAAGCAAAATTTTGAGATATATGCCATTGGTTTTTGTGTGCTCCGGTTTTCATTTCTGTATCACACTCCTCGAACCCTAGTGCCCTAACCCGACCTGTTCCACTCTTGAAACTCCCCTTCCTCAGTGCATATATTCTCAGCAAGTATCAGTCTAAGAGATATTTGGGAAATACCAGTCTAAGAGAACCTAATCATTTTGTGGGACTCACAGTCCTGAAGCCTCTGAAATCTATCCTCTTCTTGGGGAATTCCAGTCAAAGCAACAAAAGGAAGCAGAAAAAAATGAAGGCAGTATTTTGAAGAAAGATATCTTCCTTGGGGGTCATCCCCTGTGCTGAGTTCCACTAAGCAGTCCTTGGTGTGCCCTGCTGTCTCCATTTCTGATCTGACATTTCTCCACAGACCCAAACTCTGGCTGCTCTCAAGACCTTCTGGACTCAAGTCGTTTTGTTTGTTTGGTTGGTTTTGGGGGTTTTTTTGTTTGTTTGTTTCTTTCTTTCTTTCTTTTTCTTTTGTTTTTTTAAACAGCTCCCGTGGTTGGGCAGAGAGGAGAGCAGAGAGGGCTGGTTGTATGTGTGTCTCTGTGGTGAATGGGGGCTGGGCAGACAGGTGAAGTTGTAGGTAAGGATACCCATGGCCTCATTCCCAGATTCCTTGTTCAAGTTATCCAGAGTTTGCCAAAGTTCCTGGCGGTTGGCCTCTTTTACAACATTAGTAAATGAACGTGATGACATAGCTCCTATTGCTTAAAATCGGGAAGGTTTCGAAATAAGACAAGTAAGGAAAATGGTTGGTGATGTGGGCAGTGTCTTCAATACTGTAGGCTTTTAAGGATGATTTCCTGTTGAAAAGTGCCATATCTAAGAATGAGATGTACATACATGTTTGCCAGCCTCTTCGAAACCACACGGGCTTCTGTCTGGGTTCACTTTCCCCGCCGTTGTAGATGAGTAGGCTCTGCTCTGGTGACGGGCGCCTGGCCTCGGTGTTGACGCGAAGCCTCTTCAGACCACAGATGGCCAGGTACTCAGTGGGGAGGGTGTTGGTACCGCACAGAGAAAGCTTCAGGTCCTGGACCAGTGTGAAGTTCAACAGGAGGCCCAGGGCAGATGCATCGGTGAACCAGATGGTCAGATGGTCGCTGTAGCTGGCTTGCTCCAGGGCCAAAGGCAGGACGGTGTTGCAGCTGCACCTCAGGTTCGCCAAACTGTAGTCACAGTCCTGGATGTCCGCAGAGCAGCTACAGTTCCGAATGGTGTTTTCCTTCGTGAAAATCAGCGTGCTGTTCTTCTGCCCACTCGAGAAGCTGTGGAGTACAAAGATGCCCAGCGTGATGGCCAGAAGGAGGCTCTGCCCCAAAGGTGGTGCCATTCTGCTCTCAGCATGCACCGCCACGTTTGTGTTTCCCCTTTGTGAGCCAGTTCATTGGAACTCACCTGAAAGAAAAATGTGCAGCTTGGTGATCGCAGGCACTCTGTTAAAAATATACAGCTTACAGGGCGCCTGGCCGGCTCAGTCGGGAAAGCCCATGACCCTTGATCTCCGGCTCCTGAGTTTGAGCCACACGTCGGGTGTCGAGATTACTTAAGAAATAGGCAGCTGATAGAAAAGGAGCCCCCGAAATAACCCACGGTTGTGTTTGGTGACCTCCGCTCTCTCATAGTTCTATCAAAGGCAGGCAATGCATGGTCTAAGAGCCTCGGGAAAGGCAGCATCTGAGGCATAAGATTCCCTGTGATGTCAGCTGACAGACTAACACACTAATGGCAAGCAGCATGGGGTGCCTGAGATGAGACCCCGGGGCACCCTGCTGTCTGTGGGCAGGAATTTGTGGGGCTTTGAATGTGCAGATTCTCCAAACATCGTCTTCCTTGTACTGAGTGCTTGGCAGCCCCTGAAACAGGCACATTCCTTCCTCCCCCTCAATAGCTGACTTCCTGGAATTCGGGAGACAAACAGTTCGTGTTAGATTCAGCTCCGCAAGCGCTACCTGTTAAACAACGTAGCATGAATACTAGTGAAACATCTAGTTAATGATAAACTTTAATTTCTAACTAGACAAACATGCCCCCATCATATTAATCTGTTTATAGGTCCATTGATACATTCCTGCTCTCCTACAAATTTAAGTATTAGAGTAGATTTTAACTGTGTTCAGAGACAGTGAAAGTGCTAATCACACACCAATTAATCCCAACGAACTTGCTTATCTGCTCCTTCCCCAGACCAAATGTTATAAATAGATGCTATCAAAAACTTAGTGGAGGGCTCCAAAACTAAGCAATATATCAGCAGCGATCAATGATCTAAATAAGGTAGGAGTGTATGCACAGTTTAAGGAGCAACGCCAGTGTCTGATCTGGAGGAAAATGCCCCGAGTACCTGGCATATAATAGATGCACGGCCTCCTTTTATGGTGAGCTTGGAATGAGACACACATTATGAAGTAGGGTGCCAGGTTTCAGTCTTGCAAAAATAATTACATTTCCCCTGAGTAAGCTGATGACTGACCAAAAGATACAGAACCAAAGATACCATTCAGTTCTTCTGAGTTGACCAAAGAGATAATTCAGTCCATCTGCATGTACAAAGCACCATGGGTATGGCAAAATACTCGGAATAAGACCTCTGACTTGGAGAGTCTGGGGCTAGTGACAGGACCCCCACAGGAAGTGCTGGGCAGGCATAGATGGATCAGTCTGTGTCCGAAGAAGACAGTGACAGCAGGAAAGAAGTGAGGCAGACACACACCACTTAGAGTGCAAGGTGAGGAGGCTACAAGGTGGCAAAGCAAGGCAAAGAGAAGACCAAGGGAGGCAAAGCTAAAAATGCTAGGGTCCAGTGGACAGGCGGAGAACACAAGTTCATCAGCAGGTGACTGGAGTGCAGGGAGACTAACCTGAAGCTCAACCAAGTAAACTTGAACAGGTGAGACATTGGTTCACGACCATCATAACTTCATTCATTCAGCAAATGTTTACTGGGCGTTCACTAGGCAGCAGGCACTTTAATAGCCCTGTGGACATAGCCCAGAAGACAACGAGCTTCTGGAACTTTTGTTCTAAGGGACTTGATTCTGCTTCCAGGCCTACATGTGAGGACCAAGGGGCTGCAGCAGAGGGGGAGGGAAAAAAGGCAGGAGTCAGGTAGGGTTCAGCAGAGCCCATGTGCCAAGGCCAAGTAGAAGAAACAAAGATGAACAAGATGAGTACCCCTGCCCTCCAAGGGCTTATAAGCAGAAGAGGAGGACAGATAAGGCTGAACTGAGAAAGGCCCTATTGAATGTATAGTTATAGGGACATAGCAGAGAGATAGATTAAAGTCCATTTGGGGGACTGAATAAGGTACTTTATAGTGTTTGGTGTTTATTTTGAAGTTGGCACAGGGTTTTCTGAAAGGATGTATTCGTTGGTTCATTTTGTAATAAAAGAAAGGGCTTTGAGAAATGCATAGAGCCAGAATTCTTCCTGAACACGAGATTTAACAGTTTTAAATAGCTTTAACATGTGGTGGTGACTACCCCACTTAGTAAGGAGCAGTGACTAACTTATTAATTACAGGATAATTTTAGATGATCAGTTGTCCTAGATTCCATTGGAGGTTTCTAGGTCTTGATGCCCCAGTAACCCTTTCATCCCAGAACCAGGAAAACTGTCATCAATGCCACTGGCTTGCTCTGATCCCAGCCTGGAGGGGAAAAGGGAGGCAGAAAAGGATCTAGCCATCAGCCTGGAACCTGGTGCAAAAAGTGTCTATTTCATTCTTCCAGATGCTGGTACCATTCAGAGGCAAAAGAGGTAGAAAGGGAAACAGACATTGATTTCCTGAAACGAGTGGGTCTGGAGACCATAAAAAGGATTTGTGAGCAAACACCTGACCCCCTGCAGTCAAGGCCCTGGCTGGACCTCAGGGTGGCCCCTCCCTGCCTTCTGGATATTAGAGAGCTTGAAGGCTGGAACAAGGAGGCCAGATGCATGACGCCTCATGATGAGGTACAGAGTGGGACAAATATCCCTGGTAACAAGCTTATGGGGTTTTCAAAAAATAAGCTAATTGGACATCTCCTTCGGTTTTACCCTAGACTTCTTTCTTTAGATTTGTTGAATATGGATTGTGAACACCTGAGTTGCACTATGCATTTATTCATTTGTGGGCAGATTCCAGCCTGGCATAAGGAGAATGGGCACAGATACATCACACGGTCCCTGCCCCTAGCTATGCCCCTGACCATCGTGAGGAAAGAAACTGTTTTTCCTCTGGGGGTTGCTCATCTTGTTAGAAGGGAAATCATGATCTACTGGTGACCGTCTTGTCTCCAGAAGGGGTGAGTTCGCCCGACAATGAAGCCAACACAGAGAAGAACAGACACGAAATGGAGAGATATTCTTAACCATCTGAGCCACCCAGGCGCCCTGGAGAGATATTCTTAACAACCTTTTTTGAGCACTGGGATCAAGCCATGCCTGACATCCTTCCTTGATTTTTGAAATACGTGAACCAAGTTTTTTTGTTTTTCCTACTCAAACCAGTCTGAGTTGGATTTCTATAACAAGCAGTGAAAAGAGTACACTGACATTTGGTAAACTATTTTTTTTCATTCATTCAATAAACATTTGTTGAGTCCTTGCTATGTGCTAGGCACTGTGTTGGAAACTGAGAATAAAGCCAATAAGAGCTCCCTCAAGGGGTTATACCCCAGTGAAAGAGACATGTGAATCAATAATCACAGTATGATGTGATAATCACTATAATAACATTTTGTATAGGGTGTTACGTATACACGTAACTTTCCCTGGAAATGGAAGATATCATGATAAGCTTCATGGAAGAGGTAGTATCTGAGGAAGGCAGTAGTTCTTGAGTGAGAAAAAGAAGAGAAAAAGTTATCTATGTAATTAGCATAGGGTGATCAGAATTTGAAAAACCCAAAAGTAGGATGAGAGATTGATGGGCCATGGGGATGGTAGTAGGAGAGAGGAGCTGAGGGTTCCTGTCGGGTGGAACCTTCTGACTTGCCCTGACACATCATTGTCTCAGCATCTATTTTTTGTGTGCTCTAACATTAGGATTTGCCTCCTATGTCCTAAGAGGGCCCCCCCACCCCACCCCCATGATGGGCAGGGGCCTAACAATGTGATGGGTCTGTGCTGTTCTGCTGATGTTGTGCCAGAATCTGCCCACAAATGAAAAACTGCATAGTGAAGCTAGGGCAAAGGTTGATTCCTCCCTTATGTTGCAGCGTAATGCCGTTAAAGAGCCGTGGGGTGGGGAGGGTGTGCTCTGCTCCACGTGGTCATGCAGGGACTCAAACTTTCTTCCCTAGCTCTGTCATTTCCCGGGCCTTTGGATCCTCTGCAGGATTTTCCATTCACAATTCATCAGCCAGAACTCAGGCATATGGCACCCCCTCTCTGCAAGCAGTTGGAAATGAAGTCCAGCACCATGCCAAAGGAGGAGAGGATGACCTGGGTATTGGTGGGCACTAGAGATTTCTGACATGCCTAGGTGGTAAGACATAATAAATGGCTTTATGCAACCACGATAAACAGTCAGGTGGTGTCAATCCACCCAGATTTCTCCGGCAAGATGCAGAAAACCCTATACGATCATTAAATCTTTGAGCCTTTAAGTCACTGAACATATTGATAAACCAGAGCAACGATTCAGAGTCAGTTCCAATATTAGTTTTGTATTGCCACCGAAGAAATCTCGACAGCAATTAATACTAGCAATTAGCTGCATGAAAGCAAAGATTTCTGAATTGAGCAGATACAGACATCAGTGACTTCAAAACAAATTCCACACAGATTCCTTCTCAATCTAGGATTACACCCAACATTTAGATAATGTTTATACTTGGCTCCAAAAGGAATGTTTCAAACTGCACTAGTTCTGTTTATAAGAAGATACTACTACTAAGGAGATAGTGTGTCGGTCGGTGGGAGGATACCATTTGGACCATTTGCCCAAAACAGATTTGAAATGTCTTGAATAATGATGTTTTGAACTTTGTAGTCTCAACAGAAAAGAGAAAAAAATATAATTGTGGAACAACATAGTGGTATTCCCCTAATTCTAACAGCAATTAAAAACTAAGAGTGATTTCAAATTTTTAATTCAAAAGTGAGTTTAACTGAAATTAGAAGGGATTTTTAAATGTTAAAGGTGGAAAGGCACTTAGGGAAAAGATTCAGTTGAAGAAGCGGGGGAAATAAGACCAGAAATGAAGGAGATGCTCCAGCAAGAAGCAGATGGTCTGAAAGAGAAATCTGAACTGTAGTCACGGGAAGAAAGGCAGAAGACAGCCAGGTCCGGGCATCCCACGAAATCCACGTTAAAGCCAGGACTTGGGAAGTTAGGCTAGGCTGTCTTCACAAATGCAGTTCTCAAAGTGTG